GTATGTGCTCAAAAGCTCTAATCACCGTGTACAGTATAACAAACAGAACCACAAGAAAGTACTGTTCAATGTAGCTTTTAGTTGAACTGTCATCCATTAGGGTTTCATCCGAAGACTTAAAATTTACAGACACCTTGCTCAGTATATATTAAACAGTACCACATGAAAGTACAGCTCAATAGCTTTCACATAAATGGTCACACACTAGGGTTTCATCCACAGACTTAATTTTTTTGTAAACACCACCTTCAACATAATAAACAGTACCACATGAAAGTACTACTCAGTAGTCTTCATTTGAATGGTTACACCAGGGTCTCATCCACAAACTTAAAATTAAGGATCACCTTGTACAAAGTAATAAATATCGTCGCTATTTTTCCTTCAGCTCTTCCCATGACACTCAGCGCGCTTTAATCCACCCGAGTATCCATTCTTCTCTCCCCAAAAACACATAAATAGCGACTGGGTACGAGTCTGCTTTCGAAAAATATTGCTGAGTTCACCGTTGGAAAGGTCGACCAGATCGCTCTCTGTCTGTTCGCTCGAGGGCAATAATCGAGTGACTTGGGGCTAGTCTTCCACACTTGGTGATATGCCGCGAGGCGTCTCTAGCTTGAACGAGTGAAGTCTGGGGAGAGTATCCCTACATCCCTTGCGACGAACTGCTGACCTCCACGGATGAGAATGCAGGCGTAATTTTATCGATGAATTTATTATAAGTTAAAGAAAAAGTTCTTGTTTGCGTTCAAGCAAAACAAGTAGCCACAGAAAGTCCGTATTATGATTGGAACCATATTGGCTATTCTCAATTGCTGTTGAATTCTTATAACTGTCTGTTTAGTCTCGTCTAGGGAGTTGCCATAATTGCAATGCAAGCGTGTATGTTTTCTTTTTTCATTCTTTTTTCCAGTTTTCGGGCTTTTACTGACGGATTAAACTCTTCTAGATTTTGAATTTTTTCTGTACTTGTACAGCTTGTAACCTCGCATAGGCCTTACAGTTACGATCCTTCAGTTTTTAAACGATCGTACTTAGATACAGACCACTGATTATCAGAAACTGAGAATTGACGAACGATTTTGCGCTGAAGTAATTTTGATTTGATTTAATTTCCAGCAGTTACAACAGTATGGTGATATCTAATTCCATTTATATGGCAACGACCCATCTATCTATAACTTTGCATCAAAGGGTTTGAGGGCGAATCGCTGAATGTTATTTTTTTTAAGAGTCTGTCCCGTAGAGAAACAAAAATTGTGCCCCCTATGCATTAAATGTTTCAGGTCTCTCGTCCTTTCCGTGCCGAGGAACGGATCATTTTTTACACGTATTCGCGTTCCTCGTATCCATCCAAGCCAAATATTCCGAGAAGGAAACCGTACCACTTCCATCTTTGTCCACAGCTTTCAGCGCTCGAGCGATGTCTTCTTCACGACACCTGTTCCAGTCTTTGTTGCCGGAAGCCAACAAATCTCTGAACTCACTGCTGTCAATCACTCCGCTCGCGTCCTTGTCGTATTTTTTGAAATGGTCGGCTACACTTCGGACAAAAGCGTAACGATTCTGGTCGTCGACGACCTTGAAGCCTTTGCCCTTGCGAAACCACTCTGCCAGCTCAGAAAAAGAAACGCTCTTGCTTCCGTCCTTGTCAATCAGCATGAAACAAACTTCTGCCTGCTTCTCGTCCAAGCCCATATCACCTCGCAGCATCGCTAAAATCTCGCCTTTTTCGAGGCATCCGCTACCATCTCTGTCATATTTACTGAAAATGCTCTTGATCACGATCTCAGGAACATCTTCACGAAAGAGACTTTTTCCTGCCATGTTTTCAAAATCGGACTTCAAGGCTCTTGTCAAAACGTTGCATTTGTGAACACTCTCACAACAAGTGTCAAAATCTTCTATAAACTTCCAAGATATAAATCTCCAAACTTGTGCCGTGTTTATACGGCTCACTGTTAAGGTCCATTGCGAGGTTGATTAACATACAAGTGACTGATAATTCAGCGTAATTGACTCTCTTGGGAGTCTATTCAGAAAAAGTCAAACAAATATTATAAAACCAGATGACCTGAACAATATGTTCACACCCGGAACGAAATAAAATACATTTAGGATTCCTTAGTGAAACCAGTTGAGCGACAATCGGAAATATATTGCTTGCAACTTCTAGGGCTACTTCTATCTTCCTTCTTTCCACTTGTTTCATATTGATTGCAGTTAATGTATTTTTAACTATCGACTTAGGCTTGGCTCAAAACCGGCTGCAAATAATTACACCTTTTGTTGAGTTTTATTTTTATGGAAATGCAAATTTGGCCGGATCGGACAGGATCCATAAATAATGAAACGAGGTAGAAACTTATGTGGCGTTGCTTTCTCTGAGCGCCTAATTTCAGCTTTTGTCCGTTCATATACAGGTTTACTTTTAACTAACATGCTTTGCGGCCCTTATCTTAATTTTCTTATGAAAATGAAATACCTTAACTGTTCGAAAGGGCTAAGATTGGGGCTAAAATTCAAGCATATAACGAGTAGAGCTAAAAGTGCAGACAAATTTAAGTTTAGGAACCTGTGAAAGTTGATGTTCGAAATTTACCTTTAGCGCTTGCTGTAGTTCGACTGGTTTTATCTGAGCTGAAAATCATGTTATTCCTTGTCAGACACAAAGAAGATTACATATCTTGCTCAGGCAAATATCTCTTTTTACTCGAATCCAACTATTTAGAACTAGCGTATATTATAATTTAGCTCGACTCATAAGAAGTCTAACGTTTCGCCCAATTAAGCCTTGTAATCAAGTTGTATTTCTTCGCGCAGAGAGGAGAAGACCGCTAGCATTTGACATTACAACACGCGCTCAGGTTTGTGGAAGTTGTTTTAAAGAGCTTGCAAAGACTTCTGGTCGCTGTAGTGAGATACGAAACTTGGTCAAACGCAATTGATTTTAGAAGCAAATTAAACTTTCAGGGCGGAAAAATCTTGTTTAAACTTCTACTAAATCCTAGGTGATTCAGGAAATTATTTGGCTTTTGTCGTTGATGTAATTGTAAGGGCTTGAGCGTTCTGTGATAACACAGTTCTATGTTCCCGACGCTTTTACTGGTACAACTAGTTTGAGTTATATTTTAACTATTGACTTGCAAATAAATGCAAAAGAAGAAATAAACACGTGAAATCAAGCCCAGGCGGTGAGCGATGTTGTCAGTATTTTTTTTTTCTTTTTCTTTTTTTTGTTGTAGGAGATGCTGTTCCTGTTCTTAAAAGTAAAAAGAAACGGGAAAGAGTTGACTCAAGATTATAATACAAATGGAGGTTCCGGGCTCATGGGCTATTGTTGGCACGCATTTTTATCCTCTGTCATAGTAAACAACTACACGTCCCGGGTATCATATTTTCCGCGAGAGAACTGGAACCCATTCTAAAAGAGAGCAGGGATTACCTTGAGAACAATAAGACCTCTCTCAACGTCTCTGCATCCTTTCTTGATATAATTGTACCACGACATCAATGTGGCTAGTAACCAATAAGGAACGTTTAGCGCTGAACTATAAGCACTATAAATAAGCTTAAATAGTACCCGTGAGTTAGCGAAGTAGCGACAATGCAGTTTTATCCAACATTTTTAATCAGTTGAAGATGACAATATTTAATTGGATTTCGGTTAGAAGGAAAAACGTGTATGCAACTGAAGATCCGGTAACAAAGTAAAAACAGTTCCGAAAAGCCAAGCTATATAAAAATTTTGCAATACGAGAATGTGAAGAGGGCATTTTAACCCTGGGGTTGGGTGCCATTCCCCCCTCTTCCCCCCTCCCTCCCCCTTGGTGTCTTGTTCTTGCAAATTTGGAAAGGGAATTCATTCGGTGATACTGAAACCTTTCAGAAAAACGTCTCATTCAAAAAACAATTTGATATGTTTTATTAGATCGAGAATTCCAAATATTCCTTCTCCTACGTTGGGAATATGAATTGTTCTTGAACGTCTGAGTAAGATGAATGGAGGAGATCTCAAAACAACAGAAGAAGAAAGCTTTATCTAACGCAATAGAAAACGTCATGTTTCAATTAGATAACTAAGTAAATAAATTAATAAATAGATAAATAAATAAATAAATCACAATATTTAGAGAGGAAGCCACACCAGCCCTAGCTGGTTTTCATGCAGGTCCTCTATACTGGTCGAATTGGAATTTTGAGACGTTGGTTTTTGTGGAGGGACGAAAACCGGAGTTCCCGGAGAAAACCCTCGGAGCAAGGCGAGAACCAACAACCAGCTTAACTCACATAGGGCGCCAGGCCAGAATCGAACCCAAGCCACGCTGGTGGGAGCGCTCTCGCCACTGCGCCATCATCTGCGCCACTTTAAAAGGAATTCTATGAACGAGTCCAAAGCAAACCTGATGGAAACGCAAGCCACTCTTTTTGAAATTTATTTGTCCATAAGGTATCATTAACATTCTGACCAACGCCAGTTTAATATTATATTTCCTTTGAGAATAACCTGTCGTTATCTCAGTCGTAGAATATTTTTCCCAGATTCCAACGAATCATTGTTGTTGCGGGTTTTAATTCAGTTATTAGCATCTCTTCTCAGTCGACAAAAAGACTAGAGAGAATATTCCATGTTAGCTCATTTCGCAAAAGAAGCTATATATATCTCGCGATATACCAAGTTGTACTTTCCGATATACAAAAGTATATTTTAAAATAATAGCATTTTATTAAGACAGAAAATCACCACAGGCCAGTTCCAGAAAAAAGAAACAATGAAATAAAGGAGCAAGGAAGATTATTGATTAAGAAAAATTGAAAGAAACAAAGTGAAAACTGTGGGCTAAATTTCGACGTAATGCGAGATAAGGTCTCAGATTTAGAAAAAGGTCTAGGTATCATTCTAACTAAGTTTTGTTACTATTATATTATTTGTTTGGCCTGAGAAATAACTGTTTAAGATTCTCAGCGAAAGCTTTCTTCCGTTCATTAAGATTACCGTAATTTAGATAAAACTTGATAAAATTCGAGACCAAGACCGGTGTAGGAAGACAAAAGAAGACTATCCCACTCATGGCACAGAACGAACCCACAAACTTCCCCATAGGGGTGAGGGGAGTCACGTCCCCGTACCCCACCCCGGTCATTGTGATCACAGTCCACCAGAAGGCGTCTGGAATACTCGGTATGTTAGAACCTCCTTCGGCGTAGAATATAGCGCTGGAAAATATCACCACGGACACCGCGAAGCAAAATCCTAACGTCTTGAGTTGCTCAAAGCTGGAACATAATGTACTAACTAATAGCTTGATAGCATCACTGTACCGCGAAAGCTTGAACACACGTAAAACGCGAAACAGTCTGATGGCGCGCAACACGGCGAACGAACGAACTTCATCGGTGCTCTGTTGAAGCGCTAACGTTACGTAAAATGGAAAGATGGCGAGAACGTCTAGTACTCCCATTGTGGACTTGACGAAATTCCAAACAACTGGCGCCGAATAGAGGCGTACAAAATACTCAATTGTAAACCATGCCACAAAAATACCTTCCATTACGAACCAGTAATCCACAGTTGGCTCTTTGTGCTCTTCAAGCACATACTTTCCGTCTTTGCTGATGTTTTGGTAAATGATGCGTGGCTCGATCGCTAGCTGTGGAATAGTTTCGATGCAGAACACAACAGTGGAGAAAATTATGACGAAAATCGACCACAGCGCAAGCACGCGCGCGGTTTGGGAAGATCGCGGGAACTCAAACCATAACCAAAGTTTTCGCTTGTGTGGGCTGAGTGGCAAAATTTCCTCCACATCCTCGTGTGTGCTCGATAGATCATCACAGTGGATTGAATAATAATTGCTAGATAAACCGTAAAATTCGATTTCTTCCAAAAACGTCTCCTCGCTGACAGTGTCTGGTTTGGCAAGAATGCCGCGCGATTGGTAGAAAAACAAAATGGCGTCGAACGACGGTTTGTCTCGCGCAAAGACGTATTCGCCTTCCGACGAGCTATAGTATTCTCGTCGTCTCGTCGGAGAGCCGAGTAGCGTTTCCGGATAATTTTCCAAGGTCTCTTCGTACGTCTCAAAACGCATACCGCTAACGTTGATGATAATTCGCGGGCTTGTGTAGGCTGGGATATAAGTTGGGATATGACTTTGAACTCTTCGAGGCCGTGGTGTTTGTAAAGGAGGTAGATTGATAGCAGCGTTATACGCCTTAAGCATTATACGGTTTTCTCAGTGCTATGAACTCGTTTAGATGCTGAAGATGCAAGATGAATCTGCGTTTGCGTTTTCTTCATTAGATACGGCGTTATGCATTCCCTATAGTCCGCTACAGAGGCGTCTAGACCGCACAAAGCTCTGTAAAGACCCCCCAGGAGGTCCGGCGTCGAATATTTGCGACTAAGGTCGGCATCATTATCGTACAGAATGTTCCAGTAGAAACAAGCAACGGTGCATAAAGTAAACTGAAAGGAAATAAATTGCGTGAAAATGAAGTCTGTATTATGTGTTAGGTGAGAAACGGATGAATTTAAATGCAAACTAAACAATTTAAGCAACAAATATTATATATGCTACAGACATCTACCACACTAGTTGGGATGTCATTTCAATGAAGTCATATTCTTTATCTCATTCGCTCCTCACTAAAATTAATACTTTGAATTGATGTTTAGAATTTTAAACATAATGTAACATGATTTGTTCCACCAAGAGGCTCGTCAAAACTCAATTACTTCTAATCAGTGTTTTGGCCTCGCTACTTGAAATGAAACGATTAACAGTGGCAGATCCAGACTTTGAGCTAAGCGGGGGGGCCGGGGGTGGTGGTTTTGATTCACTTGCCCTGCCGGCGGCTTTTCTTCCTTCAGTCATTTCTTCTTTTTCACCCAAAATAAGGGGGAGGTGGGGGGCGGGCTCCCCCAGACCCCTTCCCGAGATTCGCCACTGATTAAAAATCATGGTATGGCTATTAAAACAGATGTTCGGAGTGAGACTTCTGAGAAATATATAACAGCTGAATTTATACACAAACTTTCGAAGAAAAGAACTTTTAGTGTATGGCCGGATTCAAGCAAACAACAACAACAAAAAAGCTATGCTTCCAAATCAGTACGTGTGCTCATCAGTAAATTGTCGAGAAACAAGCAATATCTCACGTAGCTTTATTTTTAACGGTCTGACTTTAGCCATAGTATTTATTTCATTTTTTTCCAAGTATTTTATTTCTCAGTTTAATATATGCTCTATGCTTTTTGTTAGGGCTTAACTATCCAGCGCCATTTTAAAATATTCTGTAAATTTACTTATTTTTTGCCTTCTTTTGTGTGGTAAAATAAGAGTTGAAAGTATGAAATAAAACAATGAGAAATGCTGGCTTTTTTTGTATAATTGGCTGGATATTTCTAGCACAACGTCAAATTTAGTTCTCAGCTGTCTACGGCATTTTATTTACGACATTTTATCTACGATCATTTTCCAATACTATCTCGACATGCGATATGCATATGTCAAGTTAGGACATGCACATGTTGAAATTAAAACAAATGAGAAATTATGACAACAGAACTTACGCATTTGTACCATGTTTTCATCTGGAATGAACACAAACAGCATAATTCTCAGACAGGTAATCCGTAAGAATAAATGCGGAACGTGCCAACAGCAAAAATTGCTGGCCTTTTTACTGCTTTGTTCTTAACCAAGGTGGCAAGAAAATTACTATAAGTAAGATTAAAAGAAATTTTTACTGGATGAATTTTAACTTTTTTTTTTCAATACGGCTAGATAATAGAAGCTTTGTTGCCATGAGCGATGGTTGTAAGGTCTCTCTCGGCCAGTTTACTTTATTTTTAATTTGCGCTATGCGTCGTGCAAATAAATATAGCTCCCTCCTGGAGATAATACACAGATTATGGTACACATCGGTTTTTCTGTCCGTCTTGAATAATGCCACATTCGCTGGGAATTGTCAACCGCAAATTGGAACCATGTAAATAGCAGGTCTTTAAATTATAACCCGGCTAGGAAAAAACCACACTTCCAGCTAAGCGAGTAAGTGTACAGATTTCAGACCGAAATGAATCGAAATCTATATTTTGAAATTGATACCGTGCTAGTATTACTTTCGTTTTGTAACTCACGGAAAATATCGGCGCATTGCGCCGAATTCAACGACACTGACTTTTTTTCCTTTTATGCTAAACTGTCTCTATTTCCACTAATTATAATTTAACGCGGGGTTGTTATGTAAACTAGCCTTTTCTTAAAGACAAAGAAAGTGCTAAATACTGTCTGTTTGGAAACGTTAGCGTAGAATGAATAAATTACATACTATTTTTTACCACGAAAATTGTGTTAGGAATTCAATTATATGCATGTTTAGTTCAAAGCGCACGTTCAGTGTAGTATAGACACAGAAAGAACGATACGTTTTTCAAGCATGACCTTGGAAGAAACTCCAGCTAAATCAATTAATTTTCCTCGTGTATATTCGTCCATTCACTCGAGATATTATAAATATGCCGTTTATTCGGCGATTACAGATAAAACATACTGTGTATTACCAATGATAGCATGACTCGTTTTGAAAATAAAAAAGAAAGTCGTTGTGGAGTGATTCAAACTTAAACTGCCGTTCACATTTACATTGATTTTCCTACGAAAGCAGTGCAGAGAAAATTAAAGCTCTAGTCTGGGCTAGAAACAAACGTAAACAGTGATACTTTAATTACGGCTACGAAAACATTTAAAGGTGCAAACTGATAACGGTTAAGAAACATGATGCACTCTGTATGAAGCGATTCAAGAGCATCAAATAACGCTGAGAAACGGACTTTAGTTCTTAGAAACTTAAATATTGAACTGACAGTGAAGCACAAGAATGCATAGGGAGCAATTTCGAAACAACCACAAGTTTGTAAATTTATCTCTTTAAAACGGCCTGTCAAGTTCTCTATTATCATTATTATTTTTTACTATTACTCTATTTTTTTTAATGTGTATATAAAAACACAGTATTAAATTTACCAGAAGCATGTTTCAGGGTCTTCAGGACGAAATATTGAAGTAAATATTCAACTTCTTCGATAAACTTCTAAGCATGTAAGAATATAATGTATGAGTAACAGTTTTCTTTCTGTAAGCCTAGCGTGGTTAAATAACGCCGGCTAACATATCGATCAATAGACATGAACTTAGAAAGCTCAGAATTCACCGATGAAAAATCTACCGCTTTTTATAAACAGGAAACTAAAACTTTACACAAGAATTTCCGCAACTGACAGCGTGGTAAACGATCCACATAACACCGAACGCACAAAAGAGAAAAAAAAATCCTTTTGTGAAACTGAAATAAAACGGTTGTTTTCCCAAATTTGATCAGAAATAGGGAAGATCAAAACTGAAAGTCGTCAACTCGTTTGATAACAAACTGGTGTTTCGAACGATTCAAATGAGACAAGCGTTTTTCCTTTTTTTTTTTTTTTTTTT